AGTTGGTGATGGACAGGGAGGCCTGGAGTGCTGCGGTTCATGGGGTCTCAAAGAGTCAGAGACGACTGAGCGACTGAACTGAACTGAACTGAACTGATGGAACCAGACGCCATGATCTTAGTTTTTTGTTGAGTTTCAAGCCAGCTTTTTCACTCTCCTCTTTCACCCTCATCAAGAGGCTCTTTAATTCCTCTTTACTTTCTGCCGTTAGAGTTGTATCCTCTGCATATCTGAGGTTGATGATATTTCTCCCAGCAATCTTGATTCCAGTTTGTGATTCTTCCAATGCAGCATTTTGCATGATGTACTCTGCATATAAGTTAAATAAGCAGGATGACAATATACAGCCTTGTCATACTCCTTTCCCAATTTGAACCAGTCAGTTGTTCCATGTCCTGTTCTAACTGTTGCTTCTTGACCTGCCTACAGGTTTTTCAAGAGACGGAAGGTGATCTGTTACTCCCATCTCTAGTAATTTTCCACCATTTGTTGTGATCCACACAGTCAAAGGCTTTAACACAGTCGATAAACCAGATGTTTTTCTGAAACTCCTTTGCTTTCTACATGATCCAACAAATGTTGGCAGTTTGATCACACAACTTCAGGCATGTATATAGTAAGTCATTTCAGTCATGTTCAACTCTTCATGACCCTATGGACTGTAACCCACCAGGCTCCTCTGTCCATGGGATTCTCCAGGCAAGAATACTGGAGTGGGTTACCATGTCCTCCTCCAGGGGATCTTCCCGACCCAGAGATTGAACCTCGGTCTCCTGCATTGCAGGTGAATTCTTTACCCACTGAGTCACCTGGGAAGCCCTCACAGCTCGTACATCCATCAAAATCCTTTGATCTATACACTAAGAAGGGTAAATTTTACTATATGTAAATTATATCTTATTAAAGTTAAAAATGGCACTCTAAAGATCAATGAAACGAAGTTGCACACATGAGGTGGGTTGTATGGAGTTGGGAAAAAAAGACATATTAATTTTAGTTTTCATGAATGTTCTGGTGACCTAAAAGTGATCTTGGAACCAAGTAACTTTGGAAACAAAAAACAAGTGAACATACGTGTTCATTCTATTTTGTCATTGTTGTTTTCCCTCTCAAGAAACAGAAAATGTAGATTCTGTGGGAGTCTTGCATAATAATAACCTACCAAATCTAGTGCATACTATGTGTCAAGCACTGTTCTAGAGACTTCTCAGTTAAGTTCAGTCACTCAGTTGTGTCTGACTCTTTGCAACCCCATGGACTGCAGCCCACCAGTCTTCCCTCTCCATCTCCAACTCCCAGAGCTTGCTTAAACTCCTGTCCATTGAGTTGATGTTGCCATCCAACAATCTCATCCTCTGTCATCCTCTTCTCCTGCCTTTAATCTTTCCCAGCATGGGGGTCTTTTCCAATGAGTCAGTTCTTCGCATCAGGTAGCCAAAGTATTGGAGCTTCAGCTTCAGCATCAGTCCTTCCAATGAATATTCAGGACTGATTTCTTTTGGGATTGACTGGTTGGATCTCCTTGCAGTACACGGGACTCTGAAGAGTCTTCTCCAACACCACAGTTCAAAAGTATCAGTTCTTCGGCACTCAGCTTTCTTTATGGTTCTACATACATACATTGTGTAGGAGTCTTCCATATTCATTATTTAATCCTCGTAACAACCCTAAGGTAAGTAGAGAGAGAACTCAAACACAGGCAGCCCAACTTCAGAGCTAACCACAGCCTGACACAGTCTCACTTTTCAAGTAGAGTCGATAATCTGCTTCAGTGCCAGTCTGACAAGCACTAGCAGGCTAAGTAGTTATTGGTTCCAGTCATAAGTAAGAAATATGAACTCCTTCCCCCCAAAAGCCAATTTTCATTCCTGTCTTCAAAACCCAGAGATTCACTTAGTTGTTAGTCTTATAGATCAAAGGTCAATGTAGTAGCCAGCCTCCCAGATGGACCCCAGTGGTCTGCCTGCTGATTTGAACGCACCTGGGTAGTCTCATTCCACATTGAATAGTGTCAGTAATTTGTCCTCTGTAACCAATAGCATATTGTAGAAATGTTGAGGTGTGACAGTCAAAGATAGGCCATGAGAGACATTGCAGCTTCTGCCTTGCTGTCTTGAATTTGGCTTGGTTCTAAAGTCCATTCCCCATGTGGCAGTTTGTATTTTTAAAAACTGCCAGCACAGTAGTTTCCATCCTACATGCTCTTCTACTTTGTCACCCTCTCACCAGGAGAAGGGATCTATGTCTCCTCCCCTGGAGTCTGGGTGGACTTCTGCTTTGACTAATAAAATGCTGCAGAAGTGAGGTACTGTGACCTCAGAGGACAGGTCAGAAGATGAAACACGCTTCAGATTTGTTCATTGGATCGCTTGTGCGATTGAGTCTTGAGCCACCATGGAAGAAGTCTAATTACCTAAAGGCCACCATGCTGGGGAAGGCCAAGTTATATATGGAGGGGCCCGTTATATAGGTGCTTCAGTTAGCATTACTAGACTTTATCATCTCAGTCCAGGCACTAGATACACAAATCAACAGAGCCTTCAGAGAGATGATTCCAGCTCCCATAAGTGTCTTTCAGCTTTTCAATCTGCCCAGCTGAGGACCCAAAAATTACACAACAAAGACTAGTCATCCCCACTATGCCCTGTCCAGATTCTCGATCAGCTGGGTCTGTGGGCATATTAAAATGGGTGTTTTAAAAAACTAAATTTTGGGAAGTTCTCTGTTGGTCCAGTGGTTAGGACTCACTGCTCTCATTGCCATGGCCCAGGTTCAATCCCTGGTCAGAAAAAAAAAGACCCACTAAATTTTGGGGTAATTTGTTGTGTAGGAATGATAACCGCAACACTACATACAGCTCCTGACAGTTTGGGCTTTCCCAAAAATGGCCCCTCCTCCAAGAATCTAGATGACGGTTACCTGAGAATTGTTACACTGCAGGTAACATATGGTCTTTTTTTTTTTTTTTTTTTGATAGTCATCCGATATAAAGGCATTGTTATATAACTTTAAAATACACTTAAAAGTTAGGCTTGTGTTTTCTATGTACAGTAGATAAAAGTTTTATTAGACTGCAGAATGTTGTTTCATGGAAATTAAGATAAACATGTTTCACACCAGACATTTTGCCATGAAGTGAAGTGCAGTTGCTCAGTCGTGTCCGACTCTTTGTGACCCCATGGACTGTAGCCTACTAGGCTCCTTTGTCCATGGGATTTTCCAGGCAAGAGTACTGGAGTGGGTTGCCATTTCCTTCTCCAAACATATGGTCTTAAACTGCAAAGGATGGGACCAAAAGTCTGCTAAGTTACTTTAAGGTCTTTTGTTGAAGAGCTTCACTTTCACTTCATTTTCACTTTCCTGAAGAACTAGATGATGTCTTTCTCTGTTTATATTATATTCTTCCCCTCTAGTGGTCTTTAAGGTTGAGTAAATGAGTAAATTAAAAAGCAGAGACACCACTTTGTCGACAAAGGCACATATAGTCAAAGCTGTGGTTTTTCCAATAGTCATGTATGAATGTGAGAGACCATGAAGAAGGCTGAACACCAAAGAATTGATGCTTTCAAACTGTGGTGCTGGAGAAGACTCTTGAGATCCAACCAGTCCATTCTAAAGGAAATCAACCCTGAATATTCATTGGAAGGACTGATGTAAAGATGAGGCTCCGATACTTTGGCCACCATGAGATGATTGGTTGGCATCACCAATTCAGTGAACATGAGTTTGAGCAAACTCCAGGAGACAGTGAAGGACAGGGAAGCCTAGTATGCTGCAGTCCGTGGGGTCGCAGAGTCAGACACAACTTAGCATCTAAACAACAAATGCGTAAATTAAGAGAATTCACACAATAAAGATGATCATAAACATAGTCTACTGTCTTAGTCTGTTTGGACTTCTAGAACAAAATATCACAGACTGGGTAGCTTATTAAACAACAGAAGTTTATTTTTTACATTTTTAGTGGCTAGGAAGTCCCAGATCAAGAGGCCAGCTTGGTTGCACTCTAGTGAGGACCCTCTTCCGGATTCATTACAGACACCTTCTGGTTCTCTCCTCATATGGTAGAAGGGGCAAGGGATATCTTTGATGCCTCCATTATGAGGACACTAAGCCCATTCACAAGGGCAGAACCAAAGTATCTCTCAAAGGCCCCACCTTCTAATACTACCATCTCTAGGCATTAAGATCTCAACATATGAATTTGGCAGGGTGCGTGTGTTAGTCACTCAGTCCTGAGTCTTTGCGACACCAAAGACTGTAGCCTGCCAGGCTCATCTGTCCATGGGATTCTCCAGGCAAGAATACTGGAGCAGGTAGCCATTCCCTTCCCCAGAGGATCTTAACCACTCAGGGATCAAACCTGGGTCTCTGCATTGCAAGCAGATTCTTTACCATCTGAGCCACCGGGGAAGCCCCTGGCAAGGAGGGAGAGCAGGAATAAACGTTCAAAGCATAGCACCTATAAAATATGCTGTCATTGAGCCTACAGAAGAGAATGACCAGGATGTGGCCATGATGTCTGAAAGGCACTTACTAATTTAGAAACCTATTAGTGCCAGGGTTTCAAACCAACACATTCCTGTCCTTGAGATGGCATATCATAAACCTTTCATTCATACTGTATGAAGCTTCATCCCATATTAACTGTGAATAATACTGGTAAATACAAAATCAAGGAATAATGGCATTGTCCAATATTCTATTAAATGGGGGCCTCATGAGGAGAGTAAGTTTGTCAATTGTCTTCCTGGCTGTATCCTCACTGCCCACCAGTGCTTATAATGCAAGCAATTGAACTGAATAAATACAATCACAGAAGAAAGAAATTAGCTTATTCTCTGATGGACATAAAAACTCCCTATTAGCGCTGTTAGGATTTTAATTGTTTAAAGTCTACAAGCAAGACAAATTGACTCTTTTCTAGGTTGAAGGGGATTATGGGATATGTCTATTGGTGAACCAGCAAGAAATAAATGAAAAAAAACCCAAACCAATAATTATACTTGAGTCAATATGAATTTTTATTAACACACATTTTTCAAAGTCTGTACAAACCAAAACATTCCTGTGTTTTAAAATGTCCATTATTACAAACATACAAATAAACAAAAGGTGTTACCAAAAGTTAGCTACTCAATTTTATGGTAAAACAGTATCATGATTTTTAAAAACCAAAATTTTCAAGACTGAGGTTTCTTCCTTCTCTTTTTGGAACTCGTGGAAAGTTAGAAAATGTATGGATTTGCTTTATATTAAATGCCAAGACCGTAAAAAAAGATTTAGTATAAAACTAAATATGTTTTTACATTGTCACTTCAGGTAACAGAATTTCTCAAATCTTTAAAATTAAAAAAAAAAAAAAACCATGACTGCAACTTTTTTCACAATCTTTTCCCCATAGTCAATGTAAATGCATCTGAAAAATATTATCTGACAGTTTGTCTTTACCTAAAATTTCCTCATTCAAAAAGTTACAAAACTATTTAGCACTGCCATTTCCCTTGCTTAGAAGAGAAAATTACATCCCCTACCAGAGTGATAAGCAACATGGTCCATTGTTCCTCTTATCCGAAGGAAGTCACTCATTTCCACATCTCTGTCCAATTAAGTGCATGGCTCCACTCGTGAGAATGTTCACCAATTAAAAGCATTTGCTCCTGGGAAATGCCTAGTAAGTTAAACTTACTGCTACACTTCTGGTAGTTTGAGGTACAAATGTCATCTGCCCTTATGATTACCTCTAACTCCAGTATCGCCCCCTGCGTTAAAGGATTCCAAAGTAGCTGGTTTTACTGTTCCATGGCACACCACACACCTCTAATTTCTTTTACAAACATCACAGAGGACCTGAGAGTATGGCTAGAAATGCAAATTCATCCTCTCACATGAAAAGTAAATCCATGTGCCTACTGGGTCAAGAAGGGAAAACAGGATACAGTTCAGGTTGGGGCCAAGCTGCTTTTGAGAAGCACCTGTTTTCAACACGTTTCCATTAAAAGCAGGGAGTGTACAGGCAGCAGTGGGTGAGGAAGAGTGGGGAGACAGTACATACAGGGATATCGTTCCCCCAGTCACACTCAGAGTCCATAGTTGAGCAGCTCATACTAACTTCCAAAATGCTCTGTAGTCCAAATCTTATCCCATTTTGAAATCATCTAAAAAAAAGTTATCTGACAATGGCCCAGTATGACAACTGATATAAGAGCATTTTCTTTTTTTAAAAAAGAGGTGGCAGTGTGGGAATTTAAAATCAGTCACATAAAACAATCAAGAAAGGGGAGGGAGAGGGAAGTGTCCAGTACAACCTGGACAACCTTTCTTTCTGCCCTTACTCAGAAAGACAGATTCGCCAAATCTTTGCTGCCTCCCTTAAGTATCTTCTTACATGCTCTTCCAAGAAACCCTCCAAAAGGCACTTAACTCCATACTTATATATTGAATTGTTTCACCTTAGCAATCATTTTTTAAGACTCCAAGGTAACAAGAAAGAAAAGATCTGATTCTTTCACTAAAAGAGAGTAGTACTTTTTTTTTTTTTAAAGAAGCATCACTTTTACAAGAAGAACAAGCTAGGCTACCATTATTCCTTTATCAAGAAAAAGTTTCTTTTTTTAAAAAATAAATAAAACTCTGGCTATACATAGTACAAAGTTCATACATAATATACCTGGAAAAAAACCCAAGAGTATACCCTGAAGCAAAAGGTTTATTGGAGAGAAAAAGTCTCTTCCATTGTACCAAGTCTTAAGGTGGCAGTTTTCAAAGTTCAGAGGGTGGCAGTGATATGTAATTAATGCCAAATTGCTTGCTCATGGGTATGGCAGGATGCAATAATGGATCAAAAAAAAAAAATCATTCTGCACATAACACTGAGCAGTGACCACCACAAAAAGGAAAAAAAAAAGTAGCAAAAGAGAGACAGTAGTACTGAGAAGGGCTGGCGGGTAGAGAGAAGGGAGTGAGGGTGTAAGAGAGTGAGAGAGAGAAAGAGAGGGGAGCTTAAAACCCCAAACATTCAAGCATGCAGTCCTAACACAGCACAAACCAGGTGTTTCCATTCAGCCCAACGCAGTCACACAAAGAAGGATAACTGTAATAATACAGAGATTTCTTAAGGAAGCTTGCAATTCCCAGAGAACAGCCAGGTTGCCACCCTAACCAAGGAATCCATTTGCTGTTGCCGGGAGCATTCTCGTGGTCTCTCATGGAGAGGTTATAGCTCCTGACTTCTCCGACTTCTTGCTCTTGGACAAGGCAGCTGCCTGCTTCAGGAGCTCTCGGTTTTTGGCCTAAAAAAAAAAAAAAAAATCAGTGCAGAAAGGAAATTTTATCAGGATAGGATGTTTTTCATACAGATGCTAAGGGAGACAATGTAGAGATCAGGAAGAGGTGAACAAATTCTAGAGGTAGAAAACAACAGACAATTCTAGGGTTTGGTTGAGAGGGAAGAAAGTATTTGCTGGCAGTTAATCAGTGTACTTGCATCTCCTGGGATCCACTATTACAAACGGACGCTCTATGCAACACAAACCAACCATGGAGTGCTTTAGTGTGTTGGATAAACAGAATTTACAATTTAGACATCTGGAATCACATCTGGTTTATCCAAAAATCAAAGAACACATTTATTAATCCCACTGTTTTTTGAGGTAAAAAGATTAGAACACATCCAAGAGAAAATAATAAAAGTCATCTATAAGGTGATTTAATATGTCAACTGACATGTCAATTCTCTGAGAAAAAAAGAAATCTAAGAGAAGATCACTTAAAATCAGCTAAATACACCAGAGTTATCATATTAAATAAGTAGAGTTACCTGCAATTGTTCTGTGACTTCTTTGTGGGTTTTCTCCATCTGGTTCATTTTGGCTCTCATCTGAGATTCTTGGTATTGAAAATCAGCCTTCAACTCTGTGATCTGTGGGGGAAAAAAAAGGCAGAGTGACCAGAAGAAATTTCTGTGCAATGAAAAATGTTTTGATACCAGAGAGCTAAATAGTCCCCTAAATTAATGAAACCCAGGGCTTTCCTAAACAGCCATACCTAAATCAAAGCCAGGGAACCATGTATCCTATTTTTTCCTAGTGATTTCCTGAAAATTACACAAAATTCTGCATTAATTAGCATGTCTGCCACTGACCACTTTCTAGAAGGTTTTAGATATTTCATATAGGCATATTCAATATAGGCAATAATCTTTCAAATTCTCACCTCCAAGTAAATCAATGATTATAACAAATATGACTGACAGTTTGAGAGAAGCCATGAAAATAACAGCTGCTGTCATTTACTGAATTTTTGCCCTGTTCCAGGCAAACTGTTTGATTATATTATTTTATCTAATCCTACGATAACCCTGTGGGATAGTAACATTATTGTTCCTCCTTTTAGATGGGGACATCAAGGCTTAGAAAGGATTAAGTTAAGTGGTTAGCAAGTAGCAGAGTCAGAATTCAAACTCCAGGCCTTCTTCTATTGACTATGCTATTCAAGGAGCACAGAGAAGAGGTATTAAATCAGAGAAATGAGCTGTGAGCTGAGTTGTGAGATACACGTAGCAACTGGCACATGAGGTACGGAAAAGGGCATCCAAGCAAAGGGAACAGTATGGACACAAGCAGGGTGCAAGATAATTGAGAACTTATTCAGATGACTGATGAGTGTGTCGGGAGATGAGGTCACAGAGAGGAAGGCATGATGCGGAAGAGCCTGTGTTCTAGCCAAGGAATGTGATCTTGATCCTGAAAGTTATGGGAAACAATCTACTATTTGTTTTTGCTCCTTTTAAAATCCTAACTTTGTGGGAATTCCCTGGAGATCTAGTGGTTAGGACTCGGTGCTTTCACTGCTGTAGATAAGGGAATTAAGATCTTGCAACTGCAAAGCACTAGAGACAAGCATTCATTTTGTCTCTATTTTGCAAAAATCCTTTCTTTAATGTGCCATTCTGATCTAGTTCATAAAGAAAATATACTTGGGTCTGCTTTCATCTGACAGTCATGTAGTAAACTGAAAAGAATACTGGTCTCTTCCCACGAACCTCCACCTTACTGGCAAAGCAGAAACAGCACAGCAGAAAGAACGGGAGGGTCAGAAAGATCTGGGTTCATCCCTTGTTCTGCCTTTCCCCAGCTGTGTGATTTGGGCGGACTGTTTAATCTCTTTCAGGCCATTTTCTCATCTATAAGATGAGGGAGGAATCAGATACAAAGAATGCACATAAGGACTTTAACATTACAGGACTTCTTTGGTGGCCCAGTAGATGGGACTCTGCCTGCCAATGCAGGGGACACCAGTTCAATCCCTGGTCTGGGAAGATTACACGTGTCGCGAAGCAACTAAGCCCTTCCACCACAGCTTCTGAGCCCATGCTCCAGAGCCCACAAGCCGTTAACTACTGAGCTTGTGTGCAGCAACTACTGAAGCCCAGAACCTACAGACGTACTCTGCAATAAGAGAAGCCACCAGAATGACAAAAAGCCCGCGCGCCACGACAAAGACCCAGTGCAACGAAAAATAAATTAAGATAAAAAAATGTTTTAACATAAATGTCTGTTAGCACTCATCATAGCATTCCCAACACAGTGCGAAACAACATATAGCCTCAGGGAGAAAACAGAGCTAGTGGAAGGAACCCTAAGGGGAAGGCACTGTTACCTATGAAACGATGATAATAATTCCTACCTCAAAGTGGTATGGGGATAAATGAGTTAATACATATAAAGCACTTAGAATAGGGTTAGGTAGATATAAAGGTGTTAATTGTTCAGTTGTGTCCGACTCTTTACGACCCCATGGACTGTAGCCCACTGGACTCTTCTGTCCATGGGATTCTCCAGGCAAGAATACTGAAGTGGGTTGTCACTCCCTTCTCCAGGGGATCTTCCCGACACAGGAACTGAACCCCAGTTTCTTGCATAGCAGGCAGATTCTTTACCATCTGAGCCAAAGCATTCAATGAAAGTTAACTATTATTATTAGTTATTAGAATAATAAGGCAAAAACGAGACATTCCCTAAGAATCTGAAAATAAGAAATAACAGACACGAACCAGAAAAAGGACATAAAAAAGTTCCCCTGAAGAGGGGACTATGACTCTTAGACCAGAATAAAACATCACTAAAGATAATAATGAGCTTAGAGAGTAGGTCACTCAGGAAGGGAGTTGTCACCAACGGAAACAAAGTGATGTAGTGACTAGAGGAAGGCCTACTGGAATATTGCCTGGGGATGAGGCAGACTTAGTCTACATATTTTGAGCACTACTGTCCCTTGGACACAGCCATCCCAGTAATAGAGATGGAGGCATCAGGTTCCCCTAGCCTGAGAGCATTAAAAATTCCAATTATATGACTACTTCCTCTTGTCTCAACTCCATGGTCACTCAGCACCCTCTGATTACAAGCTCCCTGAACAGCTTATGCTGAGAAGAGTAGCACTCTGCTATAGGCCCCACTGTGAAATAAGAGGTGGACACTGTGGCTTTACACATCATCTCTGCAAACTCAGTCAACTTCAGTCCTCCCTTAGAAGTGGAAGCTTCCTCCAAATGAAAGAAAGAAAAATCAACCCTCTAAACCACTTGACAGAAGGGGATTGACAATGGTAATGCCGTGCCATGATCCTGGCAGACAGCAAGCTGCTCCCTAAGACATCCCAACCTTGCCACTGGGTATCTCTCTCAGAGCACCAATGGTATATATCCAACAAACATCCGTTCAACAGCGAGCATCATGCCCTGTACCACATATTTTACCTGCCTACCTCACTCTGACCTGAGAAGCACTAACTGAGCAGTACCTTCTTCTCTTTCTCTAAAATCATTTGATCCTTCTGATGCAGCATCTTCTTCAGAGTGGCTACTTCCTCCTTCAGTTGGGCAATGATGACAAAGTGGTCAGTGCCTGGTGAGTCCAGAGCCAAATCTGGGGAAAAGCTGAGGGGAAAAATGGAGGGGGAAAATATCAGTTGGACGCATAAACTTTTTTCTACCTGAGGTCACATTATAGGCCACTTGACTGCAACTTCAAGAGCAGGAGCAACTAGTTGAATCTCAGCCATCAAGCACAATACACATCCAACTTGGGAGTATTTGCTAAACTGCACAGGCAAGGTGGCCATCAGGTAACTATACCAACCAAGGTCACAACCTGCAGCATTCCCGCAGCATCTCTGCTCACGGGCATGCTGTGCATGCGTGCTAAGTCACTTCAGTCGTGTCCGACTCTGCGACCCCATGGACTGTAGACTGTCAAGTTCCCATCCATGGGGACTCTCCAGGCAAGGATATCGGAGCGTGTGGCCATGCCCTCGTCCAGGAGATCTTCCCAACCCAGGGATCGAACCCATGTCTCCTATGTCTCCTGCACTGGCAGGGTGGGCTCTTTACCACCACCGCCACCTGCAAAGCCCATCTCTGCTCACATTCAGGACTAAAATAAATGCCACCTCATAAGAGCCAAAGATATTCTGTTTCAGGTTCATTGAAGATCCCTAGTTATTGTGGGTGAGAGTCATAATTTTTTGTGATCAGATAATTTCTCTAGAATCTGGATAAATTGTAATTTCATGCATTCTTCTTTAAAGATCCCCATAGAGATTTTGACTCTTTGTTTTCTGCTCCAAATCCCATGATGTGGTACAGCTGCTGAGAAGCTGCTGCTTTCCATCTCAGTTATAATCTTTTAAAAAAATGATAAAAAAAGAAGACGAAGTTAACAGGAAAGAAGCCAACTTCCCCTACTACAATTGGCCTGTGCACTGTCACTTCCAGTATCAAGAATTCTGTGATATTTAGTTAGGAAAGGAACAAAAAGGCGGCAAACTGCAAAGTAACATCACAACCTGGGTCATCAGCAGAGCCCTCCCTGTGATGGCCTCTGAGCACTACATTTCGTCAAAGTGCCACCAGGCGAACTCTGTCCTTTTGGTAGTGTGTCTTAACCACGAAAGTTTCAGGCAATCTGTAAGCCCCCGAGATTGTATATGCAATTCTATGCATACATACAACGGAGCGGTTTCTAGGATGGGGATCCGAGGCTCTCCTTAGTCTGGTCAGGTGTCTTAGACCCACACAAGTTAAGAAATCACTGCCAACAGAGTTAAATCCTACCCTTCTCTAGAGACCTACCCAAAGGAAACTCTTTACTTCTCACAGGGCAACCTGTAAAGTAAAACACAAACCGGTTTTTCCTAGAAAACTGCAATACTGATTCCCAACACCCTGTATCAATATAGCAACTACTCCAGATCCCCCTTGCTGTTAGATCTTTCCTACACTTTGAACATCTAATAATCATCGATTTTCTACACAGGTAGACACTCCAAATAACACGGTGAACTGCTGGACAAACCTCCTCATAGTTACCAAGTTAAGTGTTTCTATGGCTAGAATGGGAAGACAGTCCATTGATAAAAATATTCTGCCCTCAGTCTACATGAAGCACATGAGAAGGATGTCAGAGGAACAATGGATCACTGCTTTGCTAACTGATAAGTATGCAGAATTACTGGGTAACAAAAACAACATGTAAAATAATAAAACAAGGCATGCAGGAGAAAATATTCAAAGGGTCCATCACAGTCTCCACCAGTTTCCAAACTTGCTAAGGGACTGTCTTCCCTCAACCCAACAGAATCTATTTAAACCCATAACCCGAGTGACAAATGAAATGGAGTAATGGGCTAATATGCTCTACCTGCTTCTTTAACTCAAATATAATTGACATACAATATTATGTTAGTTTCATACATAATATGACATTGCATATATCACAATCAATCTGTCTAGTAAACATCTGCACCATAAAAAATTATTACTGACTACATTCTTTATGTTGTATGTTACATCCCCGTGACTTATTGATTATATAACTGGAGGTCTATAGCTCTTAATCTCCTTCACCTGTTTTGCCTATCCTCCCACCCCCCAACCTTCTGGCTACTACCTATTTGTTCTCTGTACCTATGAGTATGTTTCATTTTGCTTTGCATTTTAGACTCACATATATGTGAGATCACACAATACTGGTCTTTCTCCAACTTATTTCACTTAGCATAATATCCTCTAGGTTCATCTAGGTTGTTGCAAATAACAAGATTTTGTTTTTTATGACTGAGTAGTATTTCATTGTTTGTGTATACACACACACCCCCACACACACCCCATAGCTTTTCAGCCATTTGTCTATCAACAGCCATTTAGGTTGCTTTCATTGTCTTGGCTATTGTAATTAACACTACAGTGAACATTGGGATGTATACATCTTTTTGAAACAGTGTTTCTGTTTTCTTTGGATAACTTACTAGAAATGACATTGCTGGATTATATGGCAATTCTGATTTTTTAAGGTACCTCCATACTAGTTGCTTCACCAACTTACAATCCTACCAAGAGAGCGGCTGCTGCTGCTGCTAAGTCGCTTCAGTCGTGTCTGACTCTATGCGACCCCATAGACACGGCAGCCCACCAGGCTCCCCCATCCCTGGGATTCTCCAGGCAAGAACACTGGAGTGGGTTGCCATTTCCTTCTCCAATGCAGGAAAGTGAAAAGTGAAAGTGAAGTCGCTCAGTTGTGTCCGACTCTTAGCGGACTCCTCCATCCCTGGGATTTTCCAGGCAAGAGTACTGGAGTGGGGTGCCACTGCCTTCTCCGACCAAGAGAGCACAAGGGTGCTATTGTCTCCACATCCTTGCCAACACCTATCCGACAGCTGTTCTGATACGTGTGAGGCAGTAGCTCATTGCCATTTTGATTTGCATTTCCCTGATAATTAGCAATACTAAGCATCTTTTCAGGTGACTATAGGCCATCTGTATGTTTTCTTTGGAAAGGTGTCTATTCAGGTCCTCTGCTCATTTTTAAATAGAACTGTTTTCTTTTGTTTGTTTGTTTGTTTTTTGATGTTAAAATATATGAGTTTTTGTATATTTTCGATATTAACCGTTATTGGGTGTATTATTTGCAAATATCTTCTCCCATTCAGTGGGTTGCCTTTTCATCTTGTTTCCTTCATTGTGCAAAGGCTTTTGAGTTTGTGTAGTCCTCTGTAAAAGCAAAAGTAAACAAACAGGACTACATAGCCTGGGGATACATACTCCAAAAAAACTGCTAAGACCGATGTCAAAGAGCCTATGTTTTCTTCTAGGAATTTAATGCTTTCAGGTCTTACATTTACGTCTTTAGTCTACTTGGAGTTATTTTTTGTAAGCAGTGTGAGAAAGTAGTCCAGTTTGATTCTTTTGCATGTAGCTGTCTAGTTTTCCAACACCATTCAGTGAAGGGGCTATCTTTTCCCTACTGTATACTCTTGCCTCCTCTGTTGTAGAGTAATTGTCCATATAAATGTGGGTTTGCTTCTGGGCTGCTTATTCTGTTCCATCAGTCTCCGTGTCTGTTTCTGTGCCAATACCATGCTGGTCTTCTTGTTTTGTTTTTGGCTGAGTCAGGTCTTAGCTGCGGCACATGGGATCTTTCACTGTGTTGTGCAGGCTCTTCACTGTGGCACGCAGGAGTCTCTAGTTTAGTGCATGGGCTCAGTAGCCCAGCAGCAATGTGGGATTTTAATTCCTCAACCAGGGATTGAATTCATGTCCCTGCATTGGAAGGCAGATTTTTAAATACTGTTCCACCAGGGAAGTCCCCAACACCATACTGTTTTGATTACTGCAGTTTTGTAGTACAGTTTGCAATCAGAAAGCATGATGCTTTCAGCTTTGTTCTTCATTCTCAAGATAGATTTGACTCTACCTGCTTCTTGAGGGAAGATTCTTCCCATATCAATAAATTGCTGACTCAATGCGTCTTTCCTGTGTAGGGACTGTACTGTCTAATTCTGTAACTCCTGATGAATAAGAATTGCTGGGAATCAAAATGAAAAGAGATGGCTACGTTACTAAGGCAGAAAATCAGATCTAGTCTCTTTCTAAACACTGCCAAAGACAGGGAACTTGCTATTTATCCAGGAAGCTTGTCTCTTCCAAAAACATCTTTTCTCAGGCTGAGCCAAAATCTGCTCATCAGTCCCATCCATTGGTCCTGGATCTGTCCTCAAAGGCCACACAGAGTTAAGTCTAATCTTTCAGGTGTATTTTAGAGGGAGAACACAATAAAATGATAAGGAAAGGAAAAGAATGTCTTTTAGAAACAATAAACCACAAGATGTGCCTAGAGGTCATTGTTCATTGCCCATCAAACAATAAACAAATATGATCAAAAAGTGCATTTCTCAGGAAAGGAAAGCTAGAAATGAACTTGAATTTTCTTCAAAATAATTTTGAAGAAACTATATAATTTTGACAAACCATAAAATATTGAGATGGAAGCTGTGAATTTCATAGGATACTAAAAGAGATTAAAGCATTTTCTAAGTATAAAACCATGAGAAAAGTGTTTTTTTAAAAAAAATTCTATAAAGTAATGGGTTCTCTCCATATGATACGAAAGGCTAATGAATAAAGAAAAAGAGAAAAATCAAACATGCCTCAATATTTAAAAAATAAATAAGAGGACTTCCCTGGAAGTCCAGGGGTTAACATTCTGCACTTCCACTGCAGGGCTCTCAGGTTTGATCCCTGAATAGGGAACTAAGATCCCACATGTCATGTGTGAGGCCAAAAAAAAAACTGAAGAAATATGGTAGTATATGGTCAATGGAAAACTGTTAGAGAACAATCTTCTGAAGACATGAGAGGATAAAAATGAAAGAATAAAAACATAAATTTAAAAGTAGATTGTGATTAAAAACTGAGAGGGAGTCACAATAGATAGTAAAGAAACAAAACTGGTAACATTTACTATGGAACTGAATTCAAAATAAATATTCAGTAAAAAAAATTTTTTGGTTTCCATGACATTAAAAAAAGGACTGTTCATGGAGAAGGAAATGGCAACCTACTCCAGAATTCTTGCCTGGGAAAGTCCATGGACAGAGGAGCTTGGCGGGCTGCAGTCCATGGTGTTACACGACTGAGCACACGTGCATGAGGGTGGAGGGAGATGGGTTGGTAGCAATAAACTGGTAGAACCAAAAAAAATGAAGGACAGTTCAAAAAATGTCTTGGACCTCCTCAGTGGTCCAGTGGTTAAGATTCCACACTTCCATTGCAGGGGGTATGGAGTCAATCCCTGGTGAGCCAAAAGAGAAAAAAAAAATTTTTTTTTTAATGTTTTTAAAGTCTTGTCAGAATGTTTCCCAAGTGAAGGAAAAGCATGAGGAAAAAGTAAAAAGGGAAGAAAAAACGTAATTTACCTTGTATATAAACTTTTAAAAGAAATGCAAATAAGTGGAATAGATTAAGATTGCTAATGCAGGAACAGTGAAATGGAACTTGCATATGTATGTAAATAATTTTCATAGCTGCAGAAAAATTTTTTCCAAATTTTCAAGTTATTAGGCTACTACTTTTTAAATTACCATGTATATTTAAAGAAAAAATTATTTTTAAAGATCTTTCCCAGAGGACATTATGAAAGACCATGCACCTAAGTTAAGGATCAGCATCCTACTTGAGGAAAACAATCATTGCTGGTAACCCCAATGCAATAAAACACTCTGAACAGAAAATTTAAAGTCTTTGGCTTGGTGAAGCCATAGCAATAGTCAGCAAGAACAGTGGCAATATCTCAAGAACAAAATGACCTAACAGAAGGCAAACTTTAAGGCCTCTTGGTTAAACTAAAGGCTATGAATGAGCTTTTTCTGGGTCATTCAAACACAGCCCACATCATAAACAGCACAAAACAGAAATGATGAATCTAAAGTCTGTGGGTCTTGGTTTAGGATTTCATAAAGCAGGGCATTCAGAATGGTTCATTCCCTGAAGTAGTTTTTATAGGATCATGCATCCTGGCAGACGTGATAGGACAATCAGTGCCACATCCATTTTCTTCAGAATGGTCAAACTAGCTGCTCAGAGAACAAACAGTAACAGTAAAGCTAACCAGAAAGATGATCTTTATGGTTCCTTCCCCTATGTAATCAGAATATCTAAATCAAGCATTTCTAGAAGGATCAATTCAAGAAGTTTAAAGTCAGTGATACCTGAAATACAAAGAGAGTCTGCGGAGTCTCAAATCAAGTTAATGAAAAAGCCAACATCATAGATGCTATGTATACCCCCCTAAATAAACAAAATTCAGCCCCAGTAAGCCTATATGCTGGTCTGCTCCCATATCCACCACTGTCTGGGAGGGAGAACGGAGAATGGGGAGTTTTCAGAATGGAGATGATTCCAAGGATTTTAGGGATGAGTGTGCCAGGTGGTCTCACTTCAGAATGCTCAGCCTGGAGGAACAGGCCCCAAGACTCTGTTGAGAAGCAGCCCACTACACCAACATAGATGGGACGTCCTGGATATGAGGAGAAAATAGCTCATAAGTGGAAGCATCACTAAGAAGGGAAGGGGAAAGTGAGGAATAAAAATGCATTTAGAAAGGCTTAAAATGAAACAAAAATATTTAAATGCATCTCCTTCCCTCCTGATTCAGCATTTGCATTGGGTTCTCTCTCTTAAGGCTAAAGAAGCATGGATTATCCCTCATAGACTGAGCAATACTGCTTTAATTCTAAATTGTCAGGAACTCCCTGGTGGTCCAGTGGTTAAGACTGAGCACTTCCACTGCCACAGCCAGGGTTCAATCCCTGGTCGCAGAACTAACTTTCTGAAAGCTGTGCGATGTGGCCAAAAAAGAAAAATTTCCAATTTGTCTCTGTTTTGCCTCTGCAGACCACCTCCTGCCCTGCCTGGAGAAGGCTACAGGCACAGATCACAATTAAAAACCATGTCTTGGAATTCTTGTGAGGAAGTTATTTGTGGACTACAGAAAATTCAACTGCTATTAAATCCAGTTATATGTTCTACACAAGATTATATTTATAAACTAATATCAGTATTGTTTATTTATAAGATATCAAGAGGTTAGTGTATCCCTGAGAAGTTCACTAACAACCATAAACTAGCTCCATGACATACCCTAAAATGTATTCCTGTTTCAGGAACTGTGTATGCATTTCAAACAGAAACATGCACACACACTTGAACTGGCTTACCTATCTCCATTGGTTGTGATCGACTCAAACTTGGATTTTTTCTTTGGGATTTCATTTTGAATTGAAGACGTAGAAAGGGTTTTCTGACTTTTAATGGCAAAAAAGAAAAGAGAGAGAGAGAAAGAGAGATACACACACTTTAGAAATCAAAGATTAATAAAACATCACAATGAAAGTCTTGTCAAATGGGACCAACATAATATTGTACCTATTCTATGCAAGAGTTAATTATTTTTGATCATCAAAATCCACCCGTCTTAATTCCATATGTGCATGGGTAGTTCATTTCTATAGTCCTTCCCCAAATTTTTAGCTGTGATTAAATATTATCTGCTTTATTAACAACTATGAGAATAAGTCAATAAAACCTCAATCAGAAGCATAATCCATCTTACAATTTAAAAAGTACTTTCACATTCATTGTTCCCCATGTATCTTATAATACTGTGAGGCATATACAAGGGATTATTTCTATTTTGCAGAAACTGAGGTTCATCGAAGTTAACTGACTTACCCAGGGATATACAGCTAGTTAGCAGTGAAGCTGGGCCTAGACAGCTTTACATATTTGAACACCAAGTCCAGTTCTTCTTCACTCTGTTTCTGTAAATCTTCTAGTATCTAAGAGTCTCATGACAACCCTAAAGATCAGTTTTAGTCCCTAAAACTAGTCTGCAATCCTTTTATTTTGATGGATGTAAAATTGCCAAGTCCAAAGGATTTTTCAGACCTTTTCTTATTGGCCTCTTTTCAATATCTGATACACTGATCTTGCCTTCTCCCCATCATGTCCAACTTTATAACTGACAAATATAACTGTACATTAATTAAAATGTATGAGGTGACAATTTTATATATATTATAGAATGATTACTACCAAGATCAAGATAATTAATACACCCATCACCTTGCATACTTGATTTTATTTTTTGGCTGTGCCACGTGGCTTGTGGGATCTTAGTTACCCAACCAGGGATTGAACCTGTCCCCACTGCAATGGAAGCGCAGTGTCCTAACCACTGGAATGCCAAGGGAATTCCATTTTATTTTTTTTTAATGGTGAGCATGCTTGAGACAGCATCACCAACTCAATGGACATAAACTTGGGCAAACTCTGGCAGACAGTGAGAGACAGGGAGGCCTGGCGTGCTGCAGTTCATGGGATCACAGAGAGTCAGATATGACTTAGGGACTGAACAACAATATGCTTAAGACCTACTCTCGGCAACTTTAAAGCATACAGTCACTGAGCTGTACATCAGAACTCAGAACTACTCCTAATAAAGTGTGTACCCTCTAACCTACACCTCCCCATTTCCCTCTCCTGTTGCACCTGGCAACCACCATTCTATTCTCTATTTCTATGAAATCAGTTTTTAAGATTCCACATAAAAGTGAAACTACATGGTGTGTGTCTTTCTCTCTCTGGCTCATTTCACTTACCACATGCCTTCCAGGCTTATCTATGTTGTAGCAAATAGCAGTATTCCCTTCTTTTTTTATGGCTGGATATTCCATTGAATGTATATACCATATTTTCTTCAAACATTCATCCCTCCAAGGACATTCAGGTTGCTACCATATATTAGGTATTGTGAATAAATGAATAGAAATGCTGATTTCAGTTCCTTCAGATATATACTAAGAGTGATTGCTGGGATCATATGATAGTTTTATTTTTAATTTTTTGAGCAAACACCATACTGTTGAATTCTTTATATATTTTGGATATTAACACTGATTAGAGATTTGGTTTTCAAATACTCACTCCATCCTTTCTTGAGTGCTTCTATAAACTGTTTTCAGTCTCCAGCCTAAGTTGTATCAGTCAAGAGTATGGTTTTAACAACTATTATAGTGGGTGGAAATGATGTTCCCCAATCATCTGCATGAGAATCAGCTAAGAGGTTTATAAAACAAAGCAGATTCCTGGATTCCATCCTAGATCCTAACAAATTAAACTCAGGTAGGGCCACAGAAATCCACATTTTAAAATTAGCTCTGCTACCACTGACTCTTATATGCTACCAATGGCTCATGTTCAAACCTCTTCTGAATTATAGCCTAACCTCCTACTAAATAATAATCTTTTTAAATATCAGATCTTAGTTTCCTGCTACTTCCAGAACATCTTACTTTTGACTGGGCACAGACACAGAGGTCGAAGCTCTCAGAGGATAGCTTCTATTTCTTGACAATCCGTTCCTTGCATTTTTCTTTGGCCTCCTTCGTTCTCTTGGCCAAAAGTTTAGCATATTCTGCAGCCTCTTCCTTATTTTCTTATTCTCTTCCTTATTTTCTTCCTTATCTTCTGTTTCTTCAGAGCAATATGCTGACATTTGTGCTGCAGAACACGTGGAGTAAAAAGACGCTGAATTTTGGGTGCTTTGGTCCTAGTTTTCTCATCATCTCGGGTTCAAGGCTTTCTCACAATATACTGGTGGACATTATCTTTACTTCAGTCAGTTCAGGTGCTCAGTCATGTCTGATTCTTTGTGATTCCACAGACTGCAGAATACCAGGTTTCCCTGTCCATCACCAACTCCTGGAGCCTGCTCAAACTCATGTCCATCGAGTTGGTGATGCCATCCAACCATCTTATCCTCTGTCATCCCCTTCTCCGCCTGTCTTCAATCTTGCTGAGCATCAGGGTCTTTTCCAGTGAGTCAGTTCTTCGCATCAGGGGGCCACAGTATTGGAGTTTCAGCTTCAGCATCAGTACTTCCAATGAATATTCAGGACTGATTTCCTTTAGGATTGACTGGTTTGATCTCCTTGCAGTCCAATGTACTCTGAAGAGTCTCCTCCAACACCACAGTTCAGAAGCATCAATTCTTTGGCACTCAGCTTTCTTTACGGTCCAACTCTCACATCTATACATGACTACTAGAAAATCCATAGCTTTGACTAGACGGACCTTTGTCGTCAAAGTAATGTCTCTGTTTTTAATATGCTGTCTAGGATGGTCATAGCTTTTCTTCCAAGGAGCAAGCATCTTTTAATTTCATGGCTTCAGTCACCATCTGCAGTGATTCTGGAGCCCAAGAAAATAAAGTCTGTCACTGTTTCCATTGTTTCCCCATCTATTTCCCATGAAGGGATGGGACCAGATGCCATGATCTTCGTTTTTTGAATGCTGAGTTTTAAGCCAGCTTTTCCACTCTCCTCTTTTACTTTCATCAAGAGGCTCCTCAGTTCCTCTTCGCTTTCTGCCATAAGGTGGTGTCATCTGCATATCTGAGGTTGTTGATATTTCTCCTGGCAATCTTGATTCCAGCTTATGCTTCATCCAGCCTGGCATTATGCATGATGTACACTGCATATAAGATAAATAAACAGGGTGACAATATACAGCCTTGACGTACTCCTTTCCCAATTTGGAACCAGTCTGTTGTTCCATGTCCATCCAGTTTTAACTGTTGCTTCTTGATCTCCATACAGATTTCTCAGGAGGCAGGTAAGGTGGTCTGGTATTCCCATCTCCCTAAGAATTTTCCACAGTTTGTTGTGATCCACACAGTCAAATGTTTTGGCATAATTAATGAAGCAGAAGTAGATGTTTTTCTGGAACTCTCTTGTTTTTTCGATGATCCAACAGATGTTGGCAATTTGATCTCTGGCTCCTCTGCCTTTTCTAAATCCAGCTTGAACATCTGGAAGTTCTCGGTTCACATACTGTTGAAGCCTCGCTTGGAGAATTCTGAGCATTACTTTGCTAGTGTGAATGCACTGGTCATAGCAAACACCCTCTTCCAACAACACAAGAGATGACTCTACACATAGACGTCACCAGACGGTCAATACTGAAATCAGATTGATTATATTCTTTGCAGCCAAAGATGGAAAAACTCTATACAGTCAGCAAAAATAAGACCGGGAGCTGACTATAGCTCAGATCATGAACTCCTTACTGCAAAATTCAGACTTAAATTGAAGAAATTAGGGAAAAACACTAGACCATTCAGGTATGACCTAAATCAAATCCCTTACGATTATACAGTAGAAGTGACAAATAGATTCAAGAAATTAGATCTGATAGACAGAGTACCTGAAGAACTGTGGACAGAGGTTTGTGACATTGTACAGGAGGCAGTAATTAAGATCTTTACTTCAGAGATTATAAAGTTTTCAGACTCTAGCTCTTGGGCCCCAGGTGGAGTCACAGTAGTACCAGTAAATCTAGGAATATCCTCCTCTCCCTTTTTGACAAAGACCAAATTGAGGACACTCAGACTGGCATTCACAATGCAACCTCATACAGATTTGCTCTTTCCTTCTCGTCTTCCTTGGTCTGTAACAGGAATACTCTTCAACTCAGTAGCAGGTGGACACTGCTATGGGTTGACACCCTGCTTCATGGTTATTTGCTTGTCATTCCCACCACCGATTCGAACCACATAATCCCTCCATTCTTTACCTGGAGCATCAAGAGCAACTTCCACAGCCACGAACTTCTCACAGACAGTACAAAGTCTGTGTTCACTGTCCACTGCAGTGAGTTTCTGGCAGCCAGTGGCTGCCAAAGAGATGTTCTGCTTCACCCTGAAGCAGCTGATAGCCTCAAAGGTGCCACGTAAAAGAGCTAAATAGTTCTTGACACTTCAAACTCAACTTTCCAAAACTGAACTTCTTTTTTCCCCTTCCGATAGCCTCTCAGATAAGGATTCACTCACTCACCCCAGTAAGAAACCTGAGAATTATCCTTTATTCACCCAGATCCTGCCCATCTGTCTGTTCATCAGATTACCTAAATTACGTGTAATTCTCCTTCTGAAATGTCTTCCTGAATCTACCTCTTCGATCTTTGGTGCCACTGTCTGAGGTTCTCTATTAACATCTCTTTCTGGACTCTTACCAAAAAAGCTTCTTAACTAGCCCCCAGTCTCTTTTTCCTCCAATGCATTCTTCACAATAGTCTGGGTTAATCTTTTTTTTTTTTAAAGGTAGATTTGGTCCCTCCCCAACACAGGTCCTTTCAGTGTCTTCCTATTAAAATTACTAACATCAAGTTCAGGTTACTTACCAGGTCTGCTGGATTCCTTTCCATCCCACTTTCCAGCTCCCAACCATAAGCTCCAGCAAAATAAAAGGATTTGCTGTTCCTAACTTCCATGTGGTCTTATGCCCTCCATGTCTTTGCAGTTGCTATTCCCTCAGCCTAGGATGTCTCCACCCATTCCTTATCTGACTTATCCTAAGATCTAGTTCCAATGTCAGCTCTTCTCTGATCTTTCACTGTTTGACCTCCCAAGGCAGTTAATTACTCCAGCCTCTTATGCCTGTATCTTGACATGCTTTAACTGTGACACCCTTAGATTATCCTGCAATAATTTGATTACAGGTCTGTCTTGCCTACCAGGCTGCACACTCTTAGAAAACAGAGTGATTCTTTTTACTCATCTCTGCATTCCTTGCAGAGAATCTGGTCCATGAAAGTAACTAACAATGAACAAACAAAATCATAAAGGTAATGATAACAATGCATAACTATCATGTACTGAAGCTTCCTATATGCCGGTTATAAAACGAATCACTATGCACATACCATATAATTTATTTTCACAGCAACTCCATGAGTTAATATTATTTTCCTCATTTTACAGATGAAAAAACTTACCCAAGATCCTGTACAGAGAACCTGGCAGACCCAGGATTCAATCCAAAGTCAGAACTCTTAACAATACAACAGATACTCTGAAAGGAAGCTTAAGACAATGAAGGGACATCATTGTGACTGGATCTTATAAGGACAAACCTAGAATATCTATCAATCTCCTAGCCAAATATGCATAAGAAAAGTTGCATTTCCTCAGACTGTGGAAATGTCCAGTCTTCTCGGGAGAAAACCCACTCTTAACGGTGGGGAGAACACAAACTTTTAAAATACAACACAAACCAAGTCAGAAAACCCTAATGCCTTATGGAAGTCTCTCTGGCCCTTGGATGATATATGAATTATAAAATACATCAAACGAGATTCCCTCTATAGATTAGCAACTAGAGAGAAAATACGAAAATTTGGACAAAATGGTATCTTCCATGACTACTTGTGTATTACATCTGACCTCCCAGAACCTCTCGTTCTATCTCAAGCATCTTGGGGTTACCTGTTGTAATGGCTACCGCCACTCAGTCGACTATACTGCTCCTTCTCCTGGTGGCTAGCACGGGAAGAGCTGCTCAGGTGCTTCCTCTGCTCTTTGGTCTTCTGAAGGACCCGTTTGTATGAAAGCGTGCATAGCCAGCATAGCAATTTCCCATCTACCTGAAAGATGAGGAGACAAAGATAAAGAAGGAATGTGCTAGTGCGGAGGCTGAGAACATGGGTATCAGGAGCTAGAACTTCTGGTTAAGTCTGGATCTGCCACTCATGAACTGTGTGACCATATAAGTCACCCGGGCACTCCTGGTGTCAATTTCTTCATCTATAAAATGAAGGATAATAATATGTACCTCAGAGGGCTGGTGCAAGGATTCAGTAACATAATGGAGGTAAAGCATGGTGCAAGGTACATAAAAAGTGCTTAATAAAATATGACCTGGGGACTTCCCTGGTGGTCAAGTGGTGAAGGCTCTGTGCTCTGTGCTTTTCTGCAGGGGGCACAAGCTCAATCCATGGTTGGGGAACAAACACCCTGCATGCCACGGGGTATAGCCAAATTTTTTTTAAATATGCCAATTATATGTATTTTTTTATTTTGTTTTTCTTCAACTTAACACACAACAGAGCAAAGTTCCCACAAGAATTTCAAAAGACACAAATATCTCCATAGTTCTCACCAAGGAAAATACAGCAGGGAGAAGATAAAACATAAAATTTGTACTTTAGCTTTCATACCTTATAGATGACTCATAAAGTGGTATGCTGGATATCTTTTCTCAGATGGAAAGAAGGTTTCCAGAAAAAGACTGATGGGAAGTAGCTTCCAAGGCCCCAGTCCCTGGTGGTGACTACTATGGCACTTTGTTGAATCAGAAAAAGTCGATCACTTTGGGCAGAAGCATCTCTACACCAAGGTGCAGAGCATAGGGCTAGAAAAGCAAAATGGGGCTTCCACAATCCTCTGAAACTGGGGCACCTCTGTACCACACTCAGATTGCAAAACTGAGTTTGTGAAGTGGCCTCATACAAGTGGCAGGGCAGCAGACCTATTAGCTCACACTTGGGAGGGTATGTGCTGAAATTTTATGGAATTTTAGTTTGGGGAGTTTTAGTTTTAGTTTTGGGAGTTTAGTTTTTAGTTTTGTCTTACCTCTAAATTAGACCTTCTGCCCTCTTTTGAACATGGGTAGGTAAGCCATACCATCATTTATCTGAAGTATTTTTTAATCTTGTTAGCAAAAGCCTCTTTGCCCCTCACTCTCCTATTATATTAGCAAGTCATTGGTCTGATCTATTCACTTCTTTCCAACTCTGCTGCTTCCACCCAAGCAAGATCATTCTTATCTCTCACAACTACAAGACTCACACAGGGACTTCACTGGTGGTTCTGTGCCTAAGACTCCACACTCCCAGTGTAAGGGGCCCGGGTTTGATCCCTGGTCAGGGAGCTAGATCCCACATGCCATGACTAACAGTTTGCACATCTCAATTAAAGATCCCACGTACTGCAACCAAGACCTGGCGTAACCAAATAAATAAATATTTTAAAAACTGACTCACCCAAATGACCTCTCGGTTCTTCTATCAACCATTTCTACGTAGGTACCAGAGGACTTCTTAAATGTAAATCTGATCATAACTCTCCTCACCTTAAAATCTTAAATTATCTTATATGAAAATTTAAATTTTTTACCATGGCGTATGTTGACTAAAATGTAGCCCCTACTTGCCTTTATAAAATCTCATTCCCTTGCTCACGCTGCCTCCTTCTTTTATTTATTTGGCTGCACTGGGTCTTACTTTTGGCATGTGGGATCTCTGACCTTCACTGCTGCATGCAGGATCTTTGATTTTCTTTGCGGCATGTGTGATCTAGTTTCCTGACCAGGGATTGAGCCCTGACTCCTGCCCCAGCATTGGGAGCTCGGAGTCTTAGCCACTGGACCATCAGGGAAAGCCCCCAGGCTCATCGCTCTTGCCTCAGGGTTTTTTCATAGCTGGTCTCTCTTCCCAGGATCTTTGCCCTCCAGAGATTCCTACTGCGGCTTCCCTCTCGTCAAGTTCAGTTTCCGGTCAGATGTGATCTCCCTGCAGGTCCTCCTGAGTGCCCCATCTAAACTGGCCTCCCCAGTCACTCTCTACCAGAGACCCTGTTTCCTTATAGCACTTACATCTAAAACCTATGTTCACTCAACTCCTTGTTTGTTCTCATTTGTCTCCTACATACACAGATAAAACCTGAGAGAATAAAGTGTCTTCTGCTTAGTTCATTAGTGTATTTTCAATACCCAGAACAGTGTCAGCATGTAATTATTTGTTAATGGATGCATAAATGAATTTTGAAACCTTCAATGTGGTGCATTTCATGGTTATGGGATGTGGCCTAAAGGCCTGATTTTAAAATACTCTAGGAGACCTTGCCCAGGAAAGAGCTTTCATTGAAGAAGGGTTTGAAAACAAAGCAAATGCATTGAAAGAGAGCATTAAACATGAAAATCAAATACTGAACCACAGGACACCTTATTTCAATCTTCCCTTAACAAATAAATTTTAAAAATAGAAAATTACCCTCTGAGAATTAAACTATCATAAAGAAATCATCATAGATAACACTGAGTACTTATCACATGCCAGATTCCTTTTGAAGGGGTTTACACCCAATAACTCAACCTTCATAACAATGCTGACGTCTGATCAGCCTCATTTACAGATGAGGAAACTGAGGCACTGATAGATTAACTTGACCAAAGTCATACAACAAATAAGTGACAGAACAAAGATTTCAACCCAGGCACTCTGAGTCCAGATTATGCATGCATGCATGGTCAGTCATTCAGATGTGTCCAACTCTTTGAGACCCTGTAGCCTAACAGGTTCCTCTGTCCATGGGAGTCTCCAGGCAAAAAATACTAGAGTGGGTTGTCATTTCCTCCTCCAGAGGATCTTCCCAACCCAGGGAGCAAACCCACATTTCCAGAATTGGCAAGTGGATCCTCTACCACCGAGTCACCTGGGAAGCCCACTGAGTCCAGATTATCCACCCTTAATCCCTAAAATTAGTCTTCCTTAAGTTTGTAAACAAGTGATTGAAGATACCTATAATTATGCAAACTCTAATCATAGGATTGTAACTAGAAAATAGAAACTTAATGAATTCTAAAGTAATCCAATTAATAATTACATAGGTACCATTTACTGAAGTACAGTGCTAGGCTCAAAATTAAGTGTTTTATATGACATATCTATATCAACTAAATCTCCTTATGCCCATGTGAAGTAGCTACTGTTATTCCCATTGTAAAGATGACAAAACTAATGCGTAACAGGAGTAAGAACTTTGCCCATGATGATCCAGCTAAGCCAGGAGTGGGATGGAACCTACATCTGTGGGACTGAAAACCCTGTGCTCGCTCCAATTATTATATGTTACCTTCTGATTACTAATTCAGCTTTTCCAGTATCTTGATTCAGGGAAGAGGTGCCCTGGTTGGCAGGCAGGAGTACTCTAGTCGCTAGAAAGTTACTTCCTCCCATTGTAAATTAATGAATTGGGTTACAAGAATAAGCTTTTGAGAGACTAAGCCAACTCTGAAAAGCACCTCTGGACACTGACAATTTCCGTACAACACTCTTTCACTCAAACAATATTTATCAAGCACCTATTATGTGTCAGACTGCTGGGAACACAGCATGAAAACAAGATGGACAAAGAGCTCATAGTCCAGTGGGGGTAGACAAACATGTACGCAAATAAACAAGATAATTACATGCTATTGAAGACAATAAACAGAGAATATGATAGAGTGACTGAGAGTTAGTAAAGGTCTCTGTGAGAAGGTGGCAACTGAGCTGAGACCTGACATGAGGAACCAGTCATGACACTCTGGAGAAGGCTGTGTATCCAGCATACCAGCCAGCACAAATGAGACCAGCATGTCTGAAGGACCCAAAGGTGGACAGTGTGGCTGGACCAAAAGGAAAGAGGGGAGAGTAATGGATGATGAGACAGAGTCAGGTATGGGCCTTGCAGGCGATGAAAGGAGTTTGGGGTTTATCCTAAGTGCAAGCACTGGAGGGTTTTAAACAGACCAAATCTATACCATTTTAATTCCACCAAGGTACCATCATTCCACATAGACCTTTATCTGTATTATCTTCTTGTGATCTTTAACTTCAACAGAGAGAAACATTTGAAGAGCCAGATTGTAAAACTAGTAATACACTTATCTTGCTTAAGTCACAATCTCTACAGAGTTTTGTAGAATTTTGTCAATCACCATCTCACTTATAAGGGATGTTGATCACTGTAATTTAGATTCTCATGAAACACTAACCCATGAAATGTTAGAACATAATGGTCCACATTTGATAAGTGAAGAAAAAAAAGCTGAAAAGTTTTTTCAAGGTGAATAACAATTGGGAGAGGAACTGAGAAATCAGTCTCTGTTACATGTCTTTTTAACGCAGTTGGCCCATCTTAATTTCTCTGAAAGAAAAAAAGAAAAACACAGAGACTTACCTTCTTTCTATCATCTTTCCTGTCAAATGCACACTGCTGCTTGCACTGTTCACAAGAATACGGTGGTCCATACTTCTTCTCTGAATTTGTGCAACGCTGACACTTGTTGCCAATAAAAGCTGCGATTATGTTGCAATACTGACAAGGTTTGGGCTTTAAGAGAAAAAAAGGTGTCAAGTAAGTATATATAAAATACCAGTGCATTTTTTAATGCAATGATTTCTATTATACACGTTCACTAATTATTGCAAAAATGCATTCCCAACTTTATAAATTTCCTTTTACATTGATCAAATAAAGCCCAATTTCTCATACCATGTAAAGTGTTTTTATGCACAGGACTATTTATTTTTAAATAAATAACAAAATCCATTAGCATATATGCTAGGACTTCTCTAACAAATTCAACAGAACTAGCTCTTTGGCGAAACCAGCAAGCACTTCCAAATTTCTGAAAAGGCCTCTTTGCCATTATCAGTGTATAAACACATTGGGAGAATGCCTGCAAGAACTAAATATTAGCTAACTTTGAAAGCTAAAATACTAGATACATTTTTCTGAGAACATTTTTACATAACTAGGTCTTCTAATTAAAAAACTGTAATTATATTAACAGTTCGCAGAAGGTAAGGTCCCAAGAGACCAGACTACTCACTGTTAGGTATGGAGAAACCCTACTTACCGTTCCATACAACTGCACATTCTGAGCACATTTCTTGCATATAGTATTGGTTTTACTGTTAAGGAAGAAAGAGACACAAGGTTTTATAAGGAAAAAAAGTCATTTTACTTAGAACATCTCAAAAGTGATTCTTCTTAACTCCAAGGAATTTTCTCATTACTAAGGGCCAAGGTAAAAAATGGCTTGGATATTAGATTAACTGAAGGTTGAGTTATCTGGCCATGAACTCTTTTAATTCTTTTGTAGTTTTAGCTCAAATAAAATGAGGCTTTGGTTTAAGTGGAGAGTGAGCTGTTTCTGATTATGAAATTTCCAAGTATCACCAAGTAAAATTATCAGATGTGGAGAGGACCCTCAAAAGAAATATTATGTCAGACAAAAAATGTAGTGCTCACTTCGGCAGCACATATACTAAAATCAGACAAAAAATGTACTCAGAAATTAATCCTCCTTAGTTCAGATGACCAGGTGAGAAATTTGAGATGAGGAATAAAGTATTGGTGTTTGGGGTATAAACTCAGAAATTCTATTCATGTTGACCTTACTCTGTCTACACTCTCCTCTGTAAGCAAAAGCATATGAAAATCACAGATGTGGGGAAATAGATGTGAACATTAAATATTTTTTCAATATTTCAAGTACTCTAGGAGCTAAGCACTGACAAAAATAAACACACCCTTTCCCTTATGAGGGGACTTCCCTTGTAGCTCAGTGAAGATCCAGGTCACAGTATTTCCAACTTGCCTAAACTGATAAACTGTCTTGGGGAAAAGAAATCATCTTCAAATAAAATCTTCACACAGGAAGGTACAAACAAATACCTGATGATTAAGAACAGTTTAAACAATATTTGAGGGCCAAAAACAAAATCGCATAAAAATCCAGTATATTCACTACTTTGATTTCTTCCCCCTACAATTCCTATCAAAGTGACTATAAAGTTAAAAGCCAGAAGAAATACCTCAACGTAGAAAACATTAAATTAAAATGAGATATTCAAACAAAATATTTCCCAGGGCAATTTTCTGCCACTTAAAAAGGGCAGTTCAGGGACTTCCCTGATGGTCCAGTGAGTTTAAAAAAAAAAAAAGGCAGTTCAGGAAGTGAAGTACATTGAAAAAGACCTCTAGAAAGAGAATTAGCATCAGTGATACTGTGACGTTGAACATTTGGGTTTATCTCAGATTTATTACTCAAGGAGTGGGAAGTATATAACAATATATATAAATGTTCTTGACCCCTCAGAAAAAAAATGCAAAAAAACCCTCCTATTACTATAATCCATCTTGAATTAATTTTTATGTATGGTATGAATTAAGGTTTAAACTTCACATCTCATCCTACACACAAAAACTAACTCAAAAGGGAATCACAGGCCTAATGTAAGAGCTAAAATATAAAGCTTCTAGAGTAATATTCTATATGTTTCCATTTATATGAAGTTCTAGAACAGGTAAAACTAATCTATGGTAGAAAGGAAAATCAGAACAATAGTTGCTTGGAAAAAAGCAAGGAGGGTGGGGACTGACTAGGCTGGAGTTATAATCTCTGGGGTGACAGTAATGTTTATGTTTTGATGGGGTTTGGGGTAAAATAGATTTATACTGCTTGTAAAACTCATCAAATGATGCAAATAAGATGTGAGCATTTCACTGTGTGCGAATTTTACCTCTAAAAAAATTTAAAAACCATAAACAAATATTGAACTCTAGTTAATGATATGCATGCTGAAGTGTTTAGGGTCAAGTACACTAATGTTCACAACTTTAAACTGTAAAATTTAAGTAGTGGGTAGATGAGTGTTTACAGTCTAGTGTCTTGGTTTGTTTTTTTGTTTGTTTGTTTGAAAATACACATAACAAAATGTTGGGGAAACAGTCCCGGAACTGAAATGATGCTGACTAAAATCAGGCTTCTAGGTCCTTGCATGAGCTAGCAAACAAGACCCCATCCTGCTTAAGGTACTATTACCTACAGCCACAGTTCCACAAAAAAGTTGAACTTGCTATACCACTAAACCACTCTGCTGCCATTAAAAAGTCCCCTGTAGATGTGTGCTTCATTCACACCCAGGTATTTTTCACACTTCTCAAAATGAGATTCACACAAGCTAAGTGTAAAGGCAAGTGAGTTTTTTCAAATGTGACTAGGGCTAACAAACCCTTTATCAGGATTGTCACATTTTCAAAAGTATCTTCTTTGGGCTTATAATTTCTTCAAACTCTGTATATAAACGTACTAGAACACAAGACTCATGTTTTCTGTTGTGGGGTTGCTTTCTTAGTGTCAAAAATATCAAAACCACAATATAAAATTATCAAGGATGTGAAAAATAAGTAACTAATAAGGTAAGCAATTAATGAATAACTAGAGAACAACATGTGTATTTTACATCCATTGTGTGATAACCGGAAATGGCAGAGCCTGCGTATAATGCAATTGATTACCTCTCTTGCTGGTATTCAGTCCTACAGTAGGTGCACTTCACAACAGGGTGTGCAATCCGACATTCCTGAAATGAAATGAGGATATAACTTTAAGCAGTCAGAAATGGAAACAGTCTTCAGTAGGAGGCAGAAGACCGGAGTACTATTCCAAGCACAAGCACTGTGCTTGACTGAGTCACTTTAACTTTCTGGGACTAATTTTTTTCGTCTGTAATACTGGCATCACCACCCTACACTGATGTGGGAGTTAAGTAAGAATTTATATGGAACTAGTCATAAATTGTAAAACAAAGGTATGAATAAGCCTCAGGCATAAGGAATAAAAAGCCCTGAATTCTAGTCGGTTCTGCCTCTGCCATTCTGTGATTTTTCAGCAGGTTCATTTGTGAAATCAAAGTACTGGATAAAAATTATTACTGCTTACATACATAAAACTCCCTTAAAATCAAATACACACAAATATATATTTATATATTTAAGGCCAAAAAGGCACTCAACTATTTGATTTTTGAGATCGCTCATACCTAGTTAACAAAAAGTGTCAAAGTTATGGCCATTTGAGGCAATAACGATTGCCTCAACACAATTATGAGTTATCCATAACAGAGACACAAACTCGATTAATCTGGAGATATCTCGACATCACTCTCCAGTCGGCTTAGTGACTTTTAACTGTCACCTCACAGAACCTCTATTCACTTAAATAGGCAAAACAAGATGAAGCAACTTAAACGAAAAAGAGAACTTGGACCTTCAAGGGTAAAAACTGATCAGCAGCTGGTTAGGGGGGGAAGACTGAAGGTCACTAACTAGACGCTGAAAAAATAATCCTTTTGCTTTATGCGCTTGATTGCGGGGCTTTATTATGAAGCCTGCCTACCTCTGACTCTGAAACTGACTGAAAAGTGCCCGTGAGAAGCCCGAGTTCGAGGCAATCCTCCCAGGCAGCACCCGACTCTGGAGTTTATCCCAGGTGGGGTAGGAGGTCCGTAAGTCTGAAGCCCATCAGACCCCGGCGGGGGTTGGGAGAAGCCAGCCCAAGGGGAATCTCCGGCGCCGCTGGTCCAGGGCGAGCCGGGGACCAGGTGTCCCCTCCCCCGACCTCACGGGGTCCGAGAACAATCCCTCACGGTTGCTAAGCACCCGGACACGCCGGCCGCAGGGACCTGGACGGGGCCTGGGTCTCCCCCACGTGCCCCGCCGACTCCCGGCGGGGCGAGTGCGGCTCCTCAGATAGGCGGGCCTGCCACGCCCTGCCCAGGGGACCCCGCCGGGCGTCCCCGCAGAACCGGGAGATCCGGGCCGCGCCTCGAGCGTCCCAGTTCCCGGCCGCCGCCCCAGCCCGCGCACCTTGCACAGCTGCTGCCCCTGAGACAGCGCCTCGAAGGGGAAGCGCTGGTGGCACTTGGTGCAGGCGTAGAGCGCCGCCATGTCCGGCCCGGGCCGTGCTCACCGCCCCGCCGGCCCGGCCCGCCGCTTTATCTGACAGTCTGAGGCACAACCTGGCGGCGGCAGGCTGCGGGCTGCGGCAGGCAGGCGGGCCCTCGGGTGCGAGCGGACCAGGGCGGGCGCGGCAGCGCTAGATGCCCGTTCACTGGTTCACTTCGACGTCTATCAAGGGGAAAGGGGCGGAACACGGAGCTTCGTAGGACTCTGATTCGGCCTGGACTGGAGTACGCCACTTATGACGCGAGCGGCCTCGATTATGTAAAGCGCAGTCACGCGGGGGCGCCGCTGGGAGGGACAGTCTCCCGCCCGGGACCTAGGAAGCGCTTAGGCTCCTCCCACTTCTCTCTCGGCTCCCGCCCTCGCTCCTCCTCTCTCCGCCGCAGGCGCAACCGCGCCTCTCGCGATACCTTCGCAGAGTTGCGATGTTTCAGTTTCCATGGAGTTGCCCTTTGGTAGTGTGTTGTGCCCAGTGCGGTGCACTGTTGAACTAGAACACGGTCGCCACCGCGAGCCTGAAGAAGATTGGGAGCTGGGGGAGCGGGCGGGGGCGGCGCTCGTAAGAAAATGACTCCAACCTCAGAGCCAGAGGGTCCTGCACAGCCCTCTTAACTCGAAAAAGTAGCGGAAACAGGAGAAACAACTTAGACGGATGCTCTCTGTCTGAGATTCCTAAAAAAGAGGGACCTAGTCTAGGGTCTCTGACCTCCAGAGAGAAAGAGAAGCCCAAAGAAAGCACCTCTATTTTGTGGAAGAGAGGTGCTGGCCCCGCAGAAAGGAGAAGACAGATGCTAAAGCGAGGCTCTCCACTGCTGAGAGTTCTTGTAACCTCGAGGACCCCTCCAAGTGTGAAGCAATTGGCCTGAGGCCTGCTCTCTACTGTGTCGTATCCAGTTGAACCCTCGGTTTATATCTCTCCAACAACCACCTGGCATTTCCTGGTTAGATCTGGCCACTGGAAAGCAAGCCACATCCTCCCAGCCACTCTGCCTCTTTCCAGTTCTCACTTCCAGTTCCCAGCCTGGTGCGTCTAGGGGCTGTCCAAGGAACTACAAAGTTTTTATTCTTGAGACTTTGGCAAAGCTTCGTGCAGTGCTGACCTTTCCAAGTCTCTGCTTCATAGCTGCTCTGGGGCTATTACTCTGCCAACCACCTGAGCCATACTAATTGCAGTTTTACCTCAACGTGCGGTTTTATTTTTTAGTTTTAAACAACCGAGGGCACATTTATAGCTTATAAATCCCGCCTCCACCAAATTTTCTCTCTTTGATACGCAAATCCAGCCCCCTACTTGTGGTTTTGCCTCAAGTTGTGTTTTTGAAAACTTATGTATTTATTTTTGGATGTGCTGGGACTTGGTTCCTCTGCGCAGGGTTTGTCTAGTTGCAGTGATGGAGCCTACTGTCGCGTTCTCATTGCGATGGCTTCTGCTGTTGCGGGGCACTGGCTCTAGGGCACACAGGCGTCAGTAGTTTCTGCACATGGGCTCAGTAGTTGCAACCGGTAAACTTCAGAGTATGGCTCAATAGTTGTGGTGTAGGGACTTTTAGTTGCTCCTCAGCGTATGGACTCTTCCTGGACCAGGGATCAAACCCATGTCCCCTGCATTGGCAGGTGAATTCTTAGGCATTGTACTATGAGGGAAGTCCCAAATATGTGTATTAATCAACGATTTAAACTCTGGAGACAGAAAACTAAGGTGCAAAATCAGTGCTCCATGTCTACTGGCTCTGTAACCTTAACCTTCTAAACTTCTCACTATGGCTGAATTGCTCAGAGCCTCACTTTTCTCAGTTGTAGAATCAGGTCATTGTGGGGATCAAAAATTGTAGCTGGAGGGGAAGAGGGGAAGCTGCTTCGTGGGTAAATGGTTTTCCTTTGGAATGAGGGAAATGCTTTGGAACTAGATATGACAGGGACAGAGCAGGTGATTAAATAGTTAATCCCACTAGGGGATATTAAGTAGAAATATCTTACAGGGAGACCCCTGTAAGTTAGTGATTACTCAAGAGAGCAGATTTGCTTAACAAGAAAACCATGCAACAGAAGCACAAGACCTGCCCTAAGCAATAAGAGAGTCGTGGCATTAGACCATCGTACTTCGCAGTGAGCTCAGTAAGTTAATGATCTCTAAGACATGCTCTTTGCACATGTAAAAGCAAAACAAAACAAGTTTTGTGGACCTAGTTTGACCATGTAGGGACAAGAAAACTCCCATGCTCAACCTGGAGGAGGAGCTGATGATGAAAACATGACGTGTACTCAAGAAAAACAAAAAAGCTCTCCCCTCCCCATTTTTCCTTTGATTATAAAACTGTAGCCCAATAAGTTCTCAGGGCCGCAGCATTGGTAAGGCTCCCCACTTGTAAGCCTTGCAAGTTTCCTATTCTAATAAATCACTTCTTATCTATCACTTTGTTCTTGCTGAATTCTTCTCTGTACCAAGACATAATGGACTATGGTTCCAGAGGGCCCCTGAAACACCACCAAATGGAGCTCACCAAACATTTTCAGATAGAGATGGAGGCCACACCACATTGTGAATGTATTAATTACCACTGAATTCTTCACTGCTCACACATATACTTCACACTGGGGTGTGGGCCCCACTGTGTTTCTATCGCCTCCAGTTCTGATCTCCTCTGTATTATTTACAAGTTTTGCAACTACCTATTTACTTGTTATTCATCCATCAGACTATTGCATTTGGAACAGAAACACTATACCTGGGTCCTGTATCCTTTTCACCCAGTGCAAGGATATTCAATTCACTCAACAAATATTTAAGTATTTACTATATGCCAGGCTCTGGCTTAGGCACTGGAGATACACTGGTATATAAAACTGATGTGATCCCTGTGCTTGTGAAGCCAACAATCTAGAGGCAAAGACAGCTAAATGGTGAAGACTGTGAATGCAAAAAAAAAAAAAAAAAAAAAAAAAACGCTGCAAGGATAAAGAACAAAATTGAGAGGGAAAGGAAGGGGGAGTCAGTCACATGGGTAGAGAAGAGGTCAGGGAAATTTTTTCTGAAGAGATGCCAAGGTCTGAAGGTTGAGGACTTAGACATATGACTTGGCCAAGAATGTTCTGGTCAGAGGGAAAGGTTATGATCTTGAGGTAGAATATTGCTTAGCATTTCCAAGAAATGGAGGAGAGGCTAGTATAGCTGGAGCTTAGTAGGACAGAAGGCAAGTAGAGAGGTCAGCAGGAGTCAGCAGGGGCCAGATGTGTAAAGCCTGTAGACCTTGATATGGGTATATTTTTTTTCTCAAAGCACAGCATATGAAGTATAATGGGAAAGAAGTCATAGGCAGTTTTTAAGCAGAAAAGTGACAGAACTCTCTTTTTTGAAGATTTGCCTGGCTTCTATGAGGACGCTAGACTGTGGGGGCCAGTGTAAATGCAGAGATCACCGAGAAGGTTATGGCAGTCATCCAGGCAAGAGGTGATGATGACAGGTTTGAAGTGGAATAAGTGAAAAGAGTCAAGATATACTTTGAAGATAGAGTTAACAGGTCTTAGAGATGAACCGGATTTAGGAAGTGGTGAGAGAAAGGGAGAGATTATAGTCTATGCACCTGGCTGTGTATGGATGATAGAATCATTTCCAGCAAAAGGAAAGAACAGAAGAACAGGTTTCAGAGACAAAGCCAAGAGTTTTATATATAAATAATTAAATTCATGGCAAATAGATGGGGACACAGTGGAAACAGTGGCTGACTATTTTTGGGGGCTCCAAAATCACTGCAGATGGTGATTGCAGCCATAAAATTAAAAGACATTTACTCCTTGGAAGGAAAGTTATGACCAACCTAAACAGCATGTTAAAAAGCAGAGACACAACTTTGTCAACAGAGGTCCATCTAGTCAAGGCTATGGTTTTTCCAGTGGTCATGTATGGCTGTGAGAGTTGGACTATAAAGAAAGCTGAGCGTGGAAGAATTGATGCTTTTGAACTGTGGTGTTGGAGAAGACTCTTGAGAGTCCCTTGGACTGCAAGGAGATCCAGCCAGTCCATCCTAAAGGAGATCAGTCCTGGGTGTTCATTGGAAGGACTGATGTTGAAGCTGAAACTCCAATACTTTGGCCACCTGATGTGAACAGCTAACTCATTAGACAAGACCCTGATGCTGGGAAAGATTGAGGGCAGGAGGAGAAGGGGAAAACAGAGAATGAGATGGTTGGATGGCGTAACCGACTTGATGGACATGGGTTTGGGTGGACTCCAGGAGCTGGTGATGGACAGGAAGGCCTGGCGTGCTGCGGTTCATGGGGTCGCAAAGAGTTGGACATGGCTGAGCGACTGAACTGAATTGCCAGTTCAATCAGTTTTAGATCTATATTCAGTGGCATTAAATACATTCACAGTTATGCAACTCTCATGACTATCTATAGCCACCCATCTACCTATATGTATATATCCAGAACACTTTAATTATCCCAAACAAACTGTGTTTCCATTAAGCAAGAACTCCCCAATTCTCCCTCCCTCAAGCCTCTGGTAACCTTTATTCTACTCCTTGTCTTCATGAACTTGCCTATTCAAGATATCTCATATAAGTGGAATTACTTACTGTCCCTCTGTGTCTGGCTTGTTTTCAAGGTTCATCCATATTGAACCTCATTCCTTTTCATGGCTGAATAATATTCCATTGTACATATATATCACATTGTGTTTATTCTTTCATCTATTGTTGGACATTTGGGTTTTGTCCACCTTTTGGCCACTTAATAATGCTGCTATGAATATTAATGGTCAAGTATCTGCTTGAGTCCTTGTTTTCAATTATTTGGGGGTATATACCTAGCAGTGGAATTGCTGGATCATTTGGTAATTCCATGTTTAACTTTTTGGGGAACCTCCAAACTGTTTTTCACAATGGCTATAACGTACAGTACCACGAACAATGAATAAGGGCTCAAACTTCTCCACATCATTGCCAACACTTATTTCATATTATTTTTCTTTATAATAGTCATTCTAGGAGGTCTGAAGAGATCTTCTCATTGTGGTTTTGATTTGTATTTTCTCATGATTAATGACGGGTGTCTTTTGATGTGTTTGTTGGTCATCTGTACATCTTCTTTGGAGGAATGTCTGTTGAAATCTTTTGCCCACTGTTTAATTGGATTGTTTGTTTTTTGCTGTTGAGTTGTAGGAGTTCTTTGTATATTCTGGATATTAATCCCTTATCAGATATATAATTTGCAAATATTTTCTCCCATTCTCTGAATGGGAATTTCACTCTCTAAATAATGTCTTTTCTTTTAAAAAAGTTTAAAATTGAAGTATAGTTGTTTTACAATATTGTGTTAGTTTCTAGTGTATCAGTTCAGTTTAGTTGTTCAGTCGTGTCTGACTCTTTGTGACCCCATGGACTGTAGCATGCCAGGCTTCCCTGTCCATTACCAACTCCTGGAGTTTGTTCAAATTCATGTCCATCAAGTTGATGATGCCATCCAACCATCTCATCCTCTGTCATCCCTTTCTTCTCCTTCCTTCAATCTTTCCCAGCATCAGGATCTTGTCTAATGAGTCAGTTCTTAGCATCAGGTGGCCAAAGTATAGGAGCTTCAACTTCAGCATCAGTTCTTCCAGTGAATATTCAGGACTGATTTCCTTTAGGATTGACTGGTTTGATCTCTTTGCAGTCCAAGGAGCTCAAGAGTCTTCTCCAACACCACAGTTCAAAAGCATCAGTTCTTTGGCCCTCAGCTTTCTTTATTGTCCATCTCTCACAACCATACATGACTACTGGAAAAACCACAGCTTTGATTATATAGGCTTTTGTCATCAAAGTAATGTCTCTGCTTTTTAATATGCTGTCTAGGTTGATCATAGCTTTCCTTCCAAGGAGCAAGCATCTTTTAATTTCATGGCTGCAGTCACCATCTGCAGTGATTTTGGAGCCCAAGAAAATAAAGTCTGTCACTGTTTCCGTTGTTTCCCCATCTATTTGTCATGAAGTGATGGGACCAGATGCTGTGATCCTCATTTTTTGAATGTTGAGTTTTAGCCAGTTTTTTTTCACTCTCCTCTTTCACTTTACTAAAAGGCTCTTTAGTTCCTCTATTTAGTTATATATATATATATTCTTTTTCAGATTCTTTTCCATTATAATTTATTACAAGATATTGAGTATAGTCACCAGGTATACAGTATGTCATTGTTGTTTATCTATTTTATTTTGTTTTAATATTTTTTGTTTGTCTCTTCTGAGTCCTACTTGCAGCAGGCAGGATCTTCAATCTTTGATGCATCATGTGGGTTCTTTAGTTGTGGCATACAGAATCTTTTCAGTTGTGGCCTGCAAGCTCCTAGTTGTGGCATGTAGAATCTAGATCCCCAATCAGGGATCAAATGCAAGCCCCCTACATTGGCAGCTTGCAGTCTTAGCCACTGGACCACCAGGGAAGTCCCTATTTTTTATATAATAGTATGTCTATTTTAATCCCAAATTTTTAATTTATCTCCCCACCTCTTATTATCTCTTTTGGAAACCATAATTTGTTTCTATGTCTGTGAGTCTATTTCTTCTTTGTAAATCAGTTCACTTATATCATTTCTAAAGATCCATATATAAGTAATATCTTATGATATCTGTCTTTGTCTGACTTACTCCGCTTAGTATGATAATCTCTAGGTCCATCCATGTTGCTGCAAATAGCATGATTTCTTTTTTATGACTGAGTAATAGGATAATGTATTTTGATGCATAAAAGTTTTTAATTTTGGTGTGATCCAATTTATCTATTTTTTCTTTTGTTGCCCATACCTTTGTTGTGATGCTTAGGAAACTGTTACCAAATTCAAGATCATGAAGATGGGGTAAGTTTCGAGACTAGAATTTAAATGGCCAGCCAAAGATTGGATACTGGTGTGAGCCATAGAGAGGAATGAAGGGTGTGTGTCTTGTTTTGGGCTTGAGCAACTGTGTGAAAGTGATGGCATTTACTGAGACGGAAAGATAGTGGAGGTGCTAATTTGGAAGGGAACGGCAAAGCTTCCATTATTGGCCATGATAATTTTGAGATGATTGTAAGATGAATAGGCAGAGATACAAATCTGGGGTGCACAGTATTAGCGAGGGCTGAGAGTATAATCTGGAAACCATGAACATGTAGATAGTTTCAAAAGCCATGAAATCATCTAGGAAGAGTGAAAGAAGAATTCCAAAG